ACCCTAAACCCTAAACCCTAAACCCTAAACCCTAAACCCTAAACCCTAAACACCGTTCGTCATGCCGACCTCTTCGGGCTTTGCTTTGTAGATGGCCCAGTCGCCGTTGGAGCCTGGGCCACGGCATCCCACGGGGCCTATAGAAGTACATGTTATGGTTGGGATTACCCTAAACCCTAAACCCTAAACCCTAAACCCTAAAACAATCCTGAACCCTGAACCCTAAACCCTGAACCCCTAAACCCTAAACCCTGAACCCTGAACCCTAAACCCTGAACCTCTAAACCCTAAACCAAGTGAGGCCAGGACAGCCGCCCTTCGTGTCGTAGCGCATCAGCCAGAAGCTTTCCTGGGGGTCTGCAAAATTTGAGCCGTGCATTTCGATATGGCTGCATCCTCTCCCATCGAGCCCGCATAAGCTCTGAACGAGACGAGTTCTGGAACTTTTCCAGACTGCTAGGGTTTAGGGTTTAGGGTTTAGGGTTTAGGGTTTAGGGTTTAGGGTTTAGGGTTTAGGGTTTAGGGTTTAGGGTTTAGGTAACACAGGTCAGGCCTCCTTGATCAAGCCCTTCTTGAAGTACACCTGGCGGGAGATGGGTGCCAAGCTGAATCCGAGCGGCTTCACTTGAGCGCCACGCCCTAAACATCTACAGAAAGCCCTGCAGCCCCGCAACACTGCTTCCTAAACCCTCAGACCCTAAACCCCAAACAGCCCTAAATAGCCCCAAATAGTTCTTCTAAATCACCCTGAATAGGCCTAAATAACCCGAAATGTCCCTAAAACCCTCAACCCTAAATAGCCCTAAATAGCCCTAAACCCTAAGTAGCCCTAAATGGCCCTAAATAGCCCATAAAGCCCTCTTGAGCATGGTGCTGAGCCCAGCACCGGTCCCTGCCCGGAGCTTGCCACATTCTCCTCAGCACGCAGGAGCTCTCGGAATGTTCCGCAAAAGCTTGGGGGCCAAATGAAAAGAAACAATTGGGTGTAGGGTTTAGGGTTTAGGGTTTAGGGTTTAGGGTTTAGGGTTACATTGCCTATACTACTACAAACGCTAGTGACGTGTATCCAGAACAACACTTTTTCGTTCACACGGTGCTCGAGAGGGGTGCTGAACAGAACTGCGTAAACTCAGACAAAGGGGATATCCGGGACAGCTATCTATATGCGCGCATATATATATATATATACACATACATATACATACAAAATGATGCAAACAGAAAAATGCCCCGGTAGGCACATAGACATATCCATCGGCTTGCATGATTGGGGTTGGGGCTTGCCCTCAAGGTTCAGGGGGACACCTCCCTGCTCAACTTAGAGATTTACTAGGGTTTAGGGTTTAGGGTTAGGGTATAGACGAGCCATTGAATCATAGTAGGCCGTAGCCGTTCCACATGAGGGACGGTGCTCGCTCACTACAACGTTCCACTTCAAGAGTAGGTTGTTGGCCTGCTTGAAGTCTGCATGAATTATTCTATCTGCTGGAGCATGAGTGCTTCACAAGGCCCAAAGACTTGAGATTTCTTCCAGATGTGCAGAGTCACAGAGTCTTGAACTTGTTGTCACGTGAATCGGGTCAATTCATCTGTTTGCTGCTTTGTTTCGAGTAGAAGGGGTCCTTGAGTGCTCCAACTTTTTCACAACATGGTTTCCTTGGCCGGCCTTCCGGAGAATTTCCGACGATTGCTTCTGGCGAACTTTGATTTCATTGAGCACCCATCATACATGCAAGAGCAGTCACCCCACAGATTTCTTGACTTCTATGAGATGTTTTCGGGCGAAGCACACCTCACACGTGGAGTGGAGGCAGTTTCTTGTCTGCAAACTGTTTGAGTGAGCTTGCGCGTGCAAGAGTCTTGCATCATCGAATTGCATTCCTTGTGGACCCAGATGGGGTTCGTCTGTGCCAACTACGATCTTCGGAACAGCCCGTTTGATGATATCACCACAGAACTGGGTCAGGTGAGATGCTACTTGTCTGATATATGATCGATAAACTCGAAGAATCTTGAAGCTACTTGTTTTGCGCTGTGACTAGAGGCTTAGACAAACTGGTTCGCGTTCGTATTGGCGGAGTACGATTCAGTGCCCCTGTGTGCTCAAGTTTCGTGCCTTGCTGTTTTGGAACAACGCGCCCTGGTTTCAACCGTAGTTTACCATGTTTGTATATATGTTCATGGTTTGCTTGAAGCTGCCTTTACTGCTGCTGTATTAGGCAACGCCATGTGGATATCAACGGCGATCAGACCAAGCGATGTGTTGTGATTGGCAACGCAATAGCTGCTGCTTGCTAGCAATGAGAGGAGTGATTGCAGCAAAGTTACACAAACAGGGCTTTAATGTCAGGATTTCGAAGCCGCGTGCCAGATATTTTGCCGGAATGCCAGAATCTACGATATCTGGGAACAGCCTACTGGATCAGTCATGCCGAGGTACCCTTCCGTCCAGGCAGTTGTTTGCTGAAGCACCATCTGTTTGTTTTTGGTTTACCTTTTTTTTAAATTTCGAGGCAGCCATCCAGTTGCTGGGCTCGCGCCGTGTTTCCTTTTGCATGGGCAGCTTCGGTGCTGTGTCCAAGATTCTAGTCCACAATCTATGGCGGTCATTTTTTCTTAAGTTGCTTCTTCTTTCAACAAGAATCGAGGAAGCCCACGCAGTTGCACGGCAGCGACTGCTATCTTCTTCGGATGATCCAATACCTGGCCAAGCATCCTCGCTTGACTTCTTCGTTTCTCGACGTATTGCTTATGAACAGTCTTCGACCAGTTTCTGTTTTGAGGATATTAGCCAGTATTTTCCGAGGTTTTGTCGCCTGGCAAAAGAAGTTTTGACCAATCGCGAGGGCAGGTATTGGCGCGGAAACGCAAAGATGAAATGTTCGCAGGCCTACACAAGATCGTTCGGCTATGCTGCTTCTCGATCGCACAGTGTTCAGTTGTAGAGCTACTATGAATAGATGCTTAGCGACCTCTCGGTTTCAGGTTGGTTCTCTGATGGCCCTCCGTCGTGATCTTCGTCCGTGGGATTTGTACAACTCCTTGTATCAGCACGCAGAGTACATTGTACATGTCCTCATCACTCAGGTATCTCAATTGCAACGCAGAACAGAAGATTTGGAAATTCTGCCAGTCAGTAGTTGAACAGTAATTGTCAATTGTTGTCCGAACTGAGGATCTTGACTTTCGATTTTCGCACGAGGAGGCCATTGATCTGGAGCCACCCAATGTTCGACGTCGGCTTATGGCGCCTCAGATCCTTGTGGCTTGGCCCGCAATTATTTCTGGCTACGTGTGGGTCTCCTTTGAATTCCCGGCTTATGATTTAGGTGGCTAATTTGTATCCTCCACGTTTGCCGGCTGCCCTCATGCCGCCTGTGCCGGTCATTGCTCTTCGAGATCAGGACCACACATGTTGCAAACCTGACCCCTTGCTGAACGCCAAGCCACTGCAACTGCATCTTGTTCCCAAACCCATTTCACTGAGCGCAAATTTACTGTTTTGTATACTCAAAACATTGTTGTGTTTTCAGCAGGATGGCAGCGATGCAGAGGATGCATGGGAGGACATTGACGATGCTTGCGCTGGATGCCGTAGCAGACATGTTTTTTTTTTGTCGGTCCATGACCTATGAGATTTTTATGATATCTCCTGATCAACGGGTGTGAACATATTGTTTGTCGTCTTTTCTTTAAATCTGGATATATACACACAGACTGAGATCTGGTGCTCGCATTCCTTTTCTTATAAATTAAGGAAATATCTTGGTATATTTTTTCTGCCTTTCTGTATATGTTTTTATAGTATTTTTTTAAGTTTATCATGCTTTTTGTGATGATTGCTTTTCTGTAAATTTCATATTCGAATCCAGGGCTTCTTTTATGTTTCTGCTTTTCCAAGGATTGAGATGCCAATGCGACAAGACCGACGATGTTTTGACATCGCTGCGTCTATGTTGGGTATGAAAGCAGACGGCCTGGCCCTGCGTGCAAAATTTAATTTGTAATTGAATGCCCTCGACCTCTGGGCTTTGCTACTCTTTGCACAGAAGCCTACCATGATCCTATCGATCGAATCGCGGCAGCAACTCTGTGGCAGTGAGAAATGACATGTTTGTTTTCGCAGTGATAAGCAGGCTGGTTGTTGCGGTTCAATTTTCGTATCTCTTTGGAACGATAATATGATGTTTCTTTTATTGCATCTTCTGTGGGTTGCGTACTCTTGTTGTTTTCTGAGTCTGTTCGCAGAAGATATGACTGCCTGGCAGCATGTGCAATTCCATAGATCAGCATCTTTAGAAAGCTTCCCATGCTGGTGTGCCTACAGAGTTTTGCTCTGGAGCGAGATATTCATCCGACCTTGCTGCATGGGCATGCCGGTTGGAGGCAAACCAGCCAGGACGTGTGATTCCACTGATAGCATCTTTTGTGTGGATTGCGCAGCAGGTGGAGAGATTCGCAGGCAATGCAACACAGTCCTATGAGCCTTTGGACACATTTGAGCGGACTAGCCGCCTCCTCTGTGATAAGACAGATTCGAACTGCGGATTCTCCGCGGTTCATCCTTGACTTCTTGCAGAGTGTGCGGCTTCGCCGCCTGGAGCATCAGCAGTTTTCCCTGCTTGTTGGTAGCATACGATCGTACTTGGAATCGTCCTGCTCTTCCCTGTCAGGAGTCTCAGTTCTGCATCCTTGGGTGCTGAGTTGGAGAACGACGCAAATGCTGCTTCCAATTTTATGCTCAATTCCGCCACGCAGCAGATGAGGAATGCCCTCAAAGGATCCACGTTTTGCATCCTGTTTGGTCACACCGTTTCGTAGTTTCTTCCTTGTTATTTGCTCGAAACAGGAGCCTCTGATGCTGCTGATTCTGGTCGTCGCAAGAGCAAGAGAAAGAGAGACAAGAAGAAGACCAGCCACTTGGCTGCCGAGTTGCATGTGTGTTTTGATGCATACTCAGACGTAGCTAAGCTGGAACAGGAGAGATGTCAGAAAGCGACATGGAGGAAGAATCGGAGGAGGAAACGCCTCAGGTAGACAAGATGTCAATTTTGCAGCTTCCGCAGAAGCAACTTGCCAGAGCCAGCTCGCAGCAGAGATTGGAAGATCTCTCGGTACGCCAGCTGGGATATTGCGTTGCTGGTATCTGCAATGTTTGTCTTCCTTCGGACATCATTGAGATTGGCGGCGAATCCGTGGCTTGACCGTATGCTACATTTCTTCTGTTTGCTTGTTTTCACTATTTCTTCTCACTAGGAGAGCATCCACAAAGAGTCTGCGGCGAGATTCAAGAAGCAGAAGAACCGCGAGAAGGAAACGACATCACTGGAGAAGGCGGTTCTTTTGCAACTGTTCTACATCTTGGAGTCTCATTGTTTTGATCTTTCCATGTTGTGAAAGAAACAAAAGAGGTGAAAGCTGCTGGCAGATTGTGGAGCTCTCGTTTGGCATCACTTGTGCACTTATGCTTCTTGTCCCCATTATTGCTGCACCTGACAGTCTCACTTACTGTGACCCTTCAAACTGAGTCTGCGGAAAGAAGCCTTGTGACATCAACATATCCAATGCCAAGTCTATGGACGATGTTCACGAACTGCTGAAAAGCTTAGCACTCAAACACCGCAGGCCGGGATGTGAACCCTCAAAATATGTGACTGCAAGAAACATATTTTGCTGCTTGCAGGGTGTCCAGGCAGAAGGTCACGGAAATGAACGACAAGTACGAGACCATGCTGCAACAGTTTCGCAAGGACTTTGCACTTTGGTCACAATTTGCATGCAACGCAGTGCTCTTGAGATGCTCTTTACTTTGTCTGCTGGATTGTTTTGCTGCAGCTTTTGGCTACATATCGCAATTCGTGTTTCTTATGTCTACTGCTAGCCATGTCCTCTGCTTCTGCCACTGGCAACTTTATTTTCCAGCATGAGGCTGAGATGCGTGAAATGATGGGACGTGTAGAAGACATGCTTCGGAGTCATGAATCCACCAGAATCTCCGGCATACAGCAGCAGCTCACTGACTTAGAGTCCAGAGAGCAGCGTGTTGCTGATCGAGAACGTTCCGTTGCAGAGAGGGAGGCTGCAGTTGCTAGACAAGAAGCTGATTTGCGTCGACAACAGCATGCGCTTCCTCCGCCACCATCAGCCGCAACCCGAGCGGTGCTACGCGGGATTTGCATGACCTGTCATGACGGAATCTGCTCTCGTAGATCGACGTGCTTCAGTGTGAGTGGGCAGGACAATCACCAGCATAGCTGTCACGCGTGCTATGTGAAGCACAAGGACCCGCGACGTTTCGGAGCTGTTGCCGGCAAAAGCCAAGGACGTGGCTCGACGGGATAACTAGACATGTTTTCTCAGGGGCACTTGCGCCAGTTCGAAAATGGAGCTTGCTGTTGCCCGTGATAGAGTTGTTTGCTTGCATTCCAACAAGATACCATCTTCTGACACGAGTGGCTAGATGTCCTCACCATATGTTCTTTGCATCACAGAACGCACGCCTTTTGCTCGGGCTATTTTGGTTCGAGGATGTGCTGCATGTTTCTCTGCTTTTAGGAAAACGCAGCCAGAAGTTATGTCGCAGGATCCTGCATGGTCCCTGCTCGCTGCGGGTATGTTGTCCCCTTTGCAGCAAACATGGCTTGCACAAAAGCTTGCGCAGACGCAGACCATGCCTGTTGCTGCGTCCTCTACTCTGGATGCACAGACGGTGTACCTGCAAGCACTGCAGCAACTGGAGACGGAACGCTTGTTGCGAGCTCACGCAGATGCAAGCCACAGTGTGGGTGCGCCTACCACGCAGACTGAAGCTGAGAAAGCAGAGGCTGCTACTCCTGCCACTGCAAACACGTCTGGTGACAAGAAGACCGAGCCGGACCAAAAAACACCTTTGCAGATGGAAGAAGAGGACTTGACACGCAAAAGGAAACAAATGGCTGAGAAAGATGATGAGTATGTGCGACAGTACCAGAATGTGCAACGGGATCAGCAGGAGAGGAGCAGCCCTGCTGACACTAAGCCAGCCGTGGATCCAGACGTTCGCAAGAACAGCCATGCTCATATGGCACGACGTGTTGGCAAGTTTCGCTTGGAGCATGGCACCCTGGAAATCTTCGCCAAGTTCGTCCCCAATGAAGTAGAGCCAAGCGGTATCGCAGAGACAAAGAACGCAACGGGGTCCAGACCGCCTGTACTGCTAATCCCGCAGACGAAGAAGATGCCGTCCCCGCCAACGCGACAGACCAGCAAGGTTCCAGTGCCGCCCCCCGGACCTCCGCCCGCACATGTTCTACGTCAGGAAGCCAACACGGAAGAAGATGTCGAAGTTCAGGTAAAGTTTCTTGCTTACATGGTCCTTTTTTTTATGTTTAGGGATTTTTTTTACCCTTGTAGCAGCACATTCGAGGCATTCACGTGCAGAGGAGAAGACAATGTATGGTCGCAGTCGTCAGCGTGGCGGTCAATGGAGAGGCAATCGCTAGTTGCTGCGACTTGTGGACATGAATGGTACTTGCTGTACGTGATTTGAATCATGCTTGAAACCACAGTTTGCTGCGGGCTTTCAGATGCCTGCATGCATGTACAAAGCGAAGATTTTCTTGACAATGACGTGATGTCCGCGAGTCTGTCTACGATAGAAAAAAGGTGCTTGCGATGATAGGGTGCTATATATCGTGAGACGCATGCTTTCTTCTGCTTCGCTGGCAGGAGGCACAGAAGGACATCAAGCGCATTACTGACTTTGCAGAAGAGGGTACCATGAAGATCAAGAAGGAGGCGCACACACCCAGTCCTCGCAAGCGTGGCAGAGAGAAGAAGACAAGACAAAAAGAGCAGTGTACACCCAGACGGTTGTTCGTAACGCCGAAGACGAAAGGAAAGGAGGTGAACTCGGATGCTGAGGGGTCGGACCAGGATGCAGGCACACAGTCAGATGATGATGAGGACGGAGATGTACTGGGTGGCAAGTTTAAGCCCACGTTGACCCCGCAAAGCTCTGCACGACGGAGGCGTCGCAAGACAGCCTCCACCAAAAAAAAAGCAAAGAGGCCCAAGAAGCAGGATCTCAGCCGAGATGATGATGACCCCCCGTCCGCGCAGGAAGCATCCGAACCGGATCCAGAGCATGCCGCCGAGACAACACAACCGCCAGGTTTTCAAGACAGCAGCAACCAGCAGAGAGCAGAAGAAGCATATGCTTCTGAGCTTGACATTCTTCGTGGCAAGCTCGGTGATGATTTGCTCTCCGTGCTGCCTGGATCCGCTTCCAAGACTCTTGTCTTTGCTCATTCCGCTAGGATTCTTTCAGTGCTTGCTCGCAGTCTCCAACTCTTGTGATGTTGCAAGCATGATTGCGACGCTCATGTTAGCCAAGGAACGACCTGCTGTGCATGATGCGCATCTTAGTCAGTGAAGACATCCTGACGCTGTCCGATGCGTTGGAGAATCTTGCAGATATGGAACCAGGCTTTTGCTTTGTGCGTTGTTCTGTAATCTAGACTACAACAGTGCTGACCATGGGAATATGCATGCAGGAGACATCTCGAGTATGCTGGGTGCCGATGCTCAGAAATGGTTTTATGACCTCACGATCAAGGGCAAGAAGCTCTTCCTTGCTTGGCCTCTTGCGGTCAAGGAGTACTGTGTGTGTGTGTGCAACACTGCGGTATGTAACCTGATCTACTTGGACCCGCTCCTTTCAGGAGACGTCTTCTTCTGGACCTGGCACATCACGCACAGGACTCATGAAGTGAGATTTGCTTGCCCACCCTGAGCTACACAATGAGACCCAGTGGTTTTCCACAACAGGAGATGTCTGACTTCGAGGCAAGCAAGATAGCAAAGGACATCTCTTCCAAGACTTGTGTTTGCTGGGGACCGGGATGTCTTGACGCGGACGCAGCATCCATAGAGCCTCCAGTGACAGAGCCTGTTCCTCTACGAAAAAAAGGTCTGCACTCTTGCAGCCAGGACACCAGCTAGGACGGCTGCTTCCGTCTGGAAGATGCATTTGTCAGTTTTGCAGTCAAGGAGTTGAGATGTTTCTCTATGCAACATCGTATCGACTAAGAGTGTTTCTGGCAGGTTTCACGCAATCCTCCCTAAGCTAGTCGGGACTTTGCTTCTATTTCCCAAGACACGGAACCTTTTGTTTCTGCCCCACGGGTGCGCACGGTGGCAGTGCCGGCTGCGTCTCCTGGCTTCCCAATTCAGGTCTCAATTCTGTCCTGGTGGTTTTCTTTCATTTTTAGTATTGCGAGGGTTGCCCGGGCTCTGGAAGGCCTTTTTGGCATTTCTGCGTTCCACATGCGTGAGTCGTTCTTCCTCAGGCTCGCAGCTGAACAGCGTTCCACTTCGACGGACACGTGGGTGCAGGGAGGCGTTTCCGCACGCCACGTGGTGAGTAGGACGCGTCTGCACACGGGCTGAAGTGGAACCATGAAATGCAAAACCCCCTAAAAACGTGAATTTGCATAGGTCTCGGCAAAAATGCTGCTTTAGACCGTTCCACATCGCCTGCGTTCCACATCAGGACAGCGTTCCACTTCAGCCCATCTACTGCCGCCACGTGGCGACCACGTCGCGGCGACACACGGCCTGATGCGGAATGCAAACCGTTCGGGGCCGGTACACCGCACGATGTGGAAACGTAAAATGCAACCAAGGATGGAGAAATGGCTCAAGGAGAGAATTGAGGAAATGTCAAGGCAGGCTGCTGTTTTTGCGTTTCAGCGTTCCACTTCGTTTCTGCGTTCTGCACGCACACAAGGACTACGGACAAAGAGGAAAAGAGAAACCTTGGAGAGAGGTTCTTGAAGAAGCTTCGTCTACTTGACGACAGAGCAATGACGACGGGGCGTTGCGATGACGGCACGCTACCCCTGTCAGACTGGGAGGCGGGTTTCTACCGGTCATGACATGGAAGCACCTTGCTAGTAATCGCAACCTTCTGAGAGGCTCTGTTGGATGCTCATCGTGCAGAAGCAGCAGCCATCGGACTGTTCTTGCGACCACGTTTACCCGAGCACATGCAACAGCAGCAGCAAGCCGTGGATGTCTTAGTGCTACGGCAAGACGAAGCGTCAGAGGATGCCGTCCAGGAAGTGTCAAGCCCCAGCAAGTACACACGGAACGAGACGATGTACCTGCGCACAACTGAAGGGTTGAAGGGTGTGCTGCAGACTCACATGGTTGCTTGCTGGCAAGCGAGAAACGCCGGTTTCATCCTATGAAGGGCAAGAGTCTTTGTGCCAGGTTGGGGAAGCCGATTCATCAGACGGTTACCGCTGCTTCTTCCGTATACAGCAGCTTTGGCCTTTGTTGAAGAGAAAACAACCCTTCTTCAATTGGTATTCCAAGTTGCTCCTTGGATGCGCTACTCTTTTGAGCTCGTAGGTCTGTTTGGGTTTTGGTTGTACGGCGTAAATGATTTTTTTTCTCAGGGAGAACAACATCACGGCAGAGATTGCAGCCAAATGGAGAATCAGCATACCGAAACACATCATTCGTGGTTCCGAATACAAAGGCAAGCTGTCCACACCCTCAGCACAAACAGTTCGCTTTGCTTTCGACGCCGTCACGATGGTGGGACTTCTTTTTGTGGCTTCTTGTCATACATTATGTTAAACTTACACACATGTAGGGGCGAAAGTGCACCGTGCTCAGGCAGCTTCCGTGCTCCAGATTCGCGGCTGCAAGCCTGACCTGCAGAAGGGAGCAATGCTTCTTTTCCAATCTATGATTTCGGCAGCATGCCCCGGCAACATGACGCTTGCTCTTCTGCCAAACATTCCAGCTTGTGTCTTGACTATCCAGAGACTGCCGCTTGCCTCTTTTTGCAAAATGATTCTTGCTCTGCTTCTTTGCTGAGGCGAGGTGAGATGTGTCGACCACGATGTAGATTTGGAGAGTCTTTCGCGCTTTCTTGACTGCGTGGGATGGCAGGAGAGGCATGTGGGGGGGTCGTGAGTGTCGTTATGTGACACATTACAACTTTGCAGGTGGGCGAAGTTTCCTATGTTGACAGCAGCGCAGCGGAAGATGAATTCAGGCGACGGATGATGCAGTCAGACCGGTCGCGTAAAATCTCATTGACCAAGGTGTTCGAACATGGGATTTGCTGTTCTTCGTTCTTCGTGCTCCCTTCCAAGACAAAGTCTGCCAGGAACACGGATCCACACGTTGCTGTTGTGTTAGCGCACAAGAGTACAGATACGAAATTCCACTACGCAGGACCAACTTTCTGCTTCTCGCATCCAGAAGCGCATCGTGCACATCCTCGCACAGAAAGCGGAAGAGAATTTGCCTTTGCAGTTAGAGAAGGAGGTCCCATTGCCAGGAGAAGCTGATTCTTTCCATCCCGCGCGAACGCCCCTTGTATGCTTAGTGTTACTGGCGCCAATGTGCTCTACATGTTTCAGCCCTTGCAGCAAAGGGATGGCCGAGCTCTAAAGAAACAGCCAAAGCTGAAAGACATCATGGCGTTGGAACGCTTTCTGGCGAGATCCAGTGGCTTCAACACACAAGGATCCGAACAGAGCTTGTTCGATCTGGGTCTGGGTGACATGTGTCCAGCCCACTATCACAGGCCCTTCGCCTTGCAAGTAATAAGCTCTTCCTGCTGCGCCTGCTGCTTGAAGAATGACTGCTGATTCACTTTTCTCAGGTTGAGCTGTGACTTCGCTTTTCGGTACTTCAGCAGATCGGCCACGGAATTGAAGAAGGACGCCCTGTTGCCTAAGTCTTCTGAGTCAAAGAAGCGTCTTGGTTTTGCAGGAACTGGACAATGCCATGTTCAAGAGTCTAAACATCATCTCTGATGCTTCCCCGAAAGCAAAAGCGGATGCTTCTCGGTGCACCACTAGTTCAAGATTTTAAAGCAGTTTCTCTTTCCTTTCGAACGCAGATACAATCAGGTCTGGTTGCCACTGGTGTCGGTGAACGACACCATGGTCAGCTTTGTTCTGCAGAGAATGAGTGATTGCTGTGCAGCACAGCCTCAGTGGAAACAAAAATGGAGGAACTGCAGAAGGCAGCCGACAATTTATCTGCCAACTTCGATCGCAGCAGGAACAAACAAGCAACTCTGGCACAGATGTGACCCGGCTCACACGCAGTCATGTGGTGTGTTCAAAGTACAATCCGCTTTTGCTGTCACGGCTCAGGCCCAAGACAATCAGCAAAGTGCATCAGGAACGACTGGCTTCCAGAGAACATCTACAAGCCGTGGTGCACATGACGAAATTGTTGTCTGTGGAATTGGTGAGGCCACATGTTGGTTTGAAAGGTGCCGATCCCTCGAACAAGCTCGCCCGCCTGACTTACGGAAAGTACTCTTTCTTGTGCCACACTGAAACGGGACGAGCAGAGTGGGAGCAGATCTCGACGGACATCATGCGCTTAGTCTTGCAGGCAGACCAAGGCGGTCCCCTTTACGCTGCCTACCAATTCCTTGCTGGCAAGGGATATCCTGTCGCCTTCTCTCGCGATGAGGTGTTTCTAGACGGCTTTTAGCGGTGTCGGAACAAAAAAAACTGTCGTCATGTAGCAGCTCGTGAGGCATAAAGTGCAGAACCACTACTTGAAAGTCATCAACTGCACGGCTGGCGTCAGACGCTGCTGGCCTCAATCTATGATGGGCCATGAGACCTTGCAAATACGAGCAGACACCTGAGGATGTCAGGTGCTGACAGGCTGGTTAATGAAAGCCCGCCGGAGTCCGTGGCGGACAGGCCGGACAGGACAGGCCTGGTCGCAAGCCGGGCACCGATATTTGAGCGTGGCAATTCGGCTGCACTCCTGAGAGTGTGCTTATCACGTCATCTTGCATTGAATGTCAGCATCTCTCAGGCTTCTTCTGGTGACATTTTACAACAACTCTTCGGGGACGCCATACTGGAAGAGAAACTGGACAAGCAGACAGCCCCAATCCGCAAACTTCTTCTTGCTGTGTTCGCAGCATAGGAACGGGTTCAAAGTGGAAGAGGACGCCTCTCTGAACTTCGACCGCGTCGTTGCTGTTCTACACAAAGTGTGCAAGAAGATTGGCTGCACACCATGGTTTTGAACCTGTAATTTTGAAATCCAAGTTTCGATTTTTAGCCAGGCGACAAGGACCCCTACATGAACAGAAACGATGGTGCAGCTGGGCCTTCTGCGCGAATATTTTCGGCCCGTACTACACAGCGACGCTTTTGATCCTTACGTGGGCTGGCATGGAGGCGAAACACTGTGAAATGCTGCATGTTCCCATGTCACATGAGTGTGAAACGCAACAGGTCGGTCGCAATCCATTTGTGCAATGCGGAAAAGGAGAAGGAGGGGAAGACTACGAGAAGGTGGTGGACCTCTGCATGAAGGCTCGTACCCCTCGTTCTAGATTGATTTTCCTGTCCTGTATTCCTGAAGCAAGGCCTTACTGGACGAGGAAGCTCATCGACTTTTCAGTTCCTTGAGTCACATTTGCAAGCCATGGTGCGACATGGTTCTTTGGCTCGTGCCATGCCTGCAATCTGCCCAGTAGTTAGTTGCAGTCTCGCACATTGTTCATACTTGAATGTGAGTTTCTCGCATATCGCCAAGCAAAGCAACAAAGCCACGAACTTCGCTGTGCACGAGCACACTCTCTTCTGCAACAGCCCCAAGTATGCAGCCGTCGTGAACAACGTGCTGGTTGACGCTTTCAGCGTTGAGAGCATGTCTCGACTGGATATGGCTGTCGATTTGCGTCTGGAAGATATCAACGGCACCCAGGCCTCGCCGCTGTTGGGCTAGCTACTAGACATTATGTGGTCTGATAAAAACACGTTGCTGTTCCTTCTTCACAGAACATTTGGCTCAGTCGACACTAAGCATCAAAGAGCTATGGATTCCGCGCAGTCTTCCTCGACCGAACCGCGCCTGCTAACAGAGGAAGAGAAGAAACTCAAGCGTCACCTCGCCATATGTGCCATCAAGCGCTCCGACGAGTATCAGCTGGTATCCTGTGTCCTGAAGTCGAAAAATTTGGGCTTCCAGGACGTGGAGGGCATAGAGTCTCCGCCAGTTACACCGAAGATACCGCAGGCCAAGTTCAGCAAGAGAAAGTGGGAAGCAATGGTGTATCACTTCAGGCGCAAGATTCGTGTCTACTACGCGCTGACCCAAGGAAGTAGCTTGTAACATAGCGAGTGATTTCTGTTTCCTGCTGTGGACTCTTTAAACAAAGGTGCTGGGTCATGCCACCCATGCCTTTTGCTGTCGTGCTCCTGCAGCCATAATTTACTTGCAAGTTATTAGATGAAGTGCTGGAACGTAGAAGCCAGACCGCCGTACGCAAATCCGCAGAAAGAAAAACAAGAACAGCACGGTTCGTGAAGAGATCAAGAGTGATTGTGCTGCTGGTGTAAGTACTGGAAAAGGCGGCCAATCCGCTCAAGTCACTGGCGCGGACTTTCCGCTGCCCTAGAAGAGTCGAGTGATTGAGGTAATCTTGCAGTGACTGAAACATCATGCAAACAGAAGAAAGAGTGCAATCCTCAGATTCGCAGAAGGAACCTATATGATGATTTGGTAGCAGTGCAAAACCCCAAACCCAGAAAAAGGGAAGCAGCCGTCCACATGCACAGGAGAGACCCAAAAAAAAAAGACACTAGTCGCGGACTAGCCGCAAGCCTCTGCTTGATTTGGAAATTAAAATAAGCACAGTCAATGTGTGTGTTTTCATGGATAACATGCAGCAGGTGATGGCTGTGATCAAGCGAAGAGCCGAGGCTGCTGACTGCCTCCTGTGGGATCACTTGCATGCAACGCTGACGTGCATGATGGAGTTGACACTGTACTCTTTGTATTTGCAAAGCCCTCCCAGCAAAGCTGCCGCTCTGGTTTTGGATGCTTCCGAAAACCAGGAAAAGTTGTTCGTTCAGAAACAGATCGCACAGGAAATGCAGGCAGAATGGAACCTTGTCCTGAAAATGGAGGACGACAAGGCCGCCCGCGAAATCTTATACAAAGCCTGTCCATGGGTTGGCTACCACTGCTTTCGAGAAGTGAATCTGTTTATGCAGCAAAATGAGTGGAAAGTGAATGAAAGCGTGAAGCAGCTCCTGCTTGCTTGGCACCCAAAGGTAGGTGGCTCCTCCAACGTGGAGGATGTGTTCGCCAGCATACAAGACAGCGTGCTGCGTTCCACGAAGAACAACGAGTCAGCCATGTGTAATCTTCAATGCTGCGCCATCCGTTCCTTCCAGAAACGGATGTGTACCCAGGACGGCCCCAAGACAGTATCCCTGGAGTCAGCTGACTTCGAGGGAACGAATGTGCGTGGTATCAAACCCAAAATATGGCACCCCAACTCAGCAAGCAGCAGCAATTCGACGTGATATTACTGTAAATGATTTTTCTCGCTTGTGCCTTTATATATTGTGTCCTGTTCAAAGAACGCTTAGAAACCAAGAAGATCCCAGGTGATGATCTGGATATGGATGCGATTCTGAAACCGTTTCCTTCGACGTCAGCCTTCAATCACTGCAAAAGCCAACTGAACTGGTTCCAGGGCTTGCTCCAGGCAGATTCGCAGCTGGTCTGCTAATTGTGAGATCTGTTACTTAACATAAACTGCGGTGATAGAAGCTGAGGCAGGGAAAAGATGCGGTCGCGGAAAGCGAGAATTTCTGGGCCCCCAACGTGATGCAGCGCGGAACATTGCTGAAGCTCAGGGATAAGTTCTACTTATGCTTGGGAAACAATCCTGCTCTTCTCTACGTGTCCTGTTCGCACGGGAAGCGCATACCTTTGCTTTGCAGCAGCATTCACAAACATGTTTTACTGCTGCTGTTCTTTTTCTTGCTAAGGTGTTGCCGCTGCGGGAGATCAGTCTGGTGTTTCGCAACGCCTTGCCTGCGCAGCCTGCGGACGAGACCAAGGTCATGGCACGCGCAACCGAGTACAGATGCTGCCTCGATCCCCTTAAAGAAGGAGAGCAAGTCAAAGCTCTGACTTTTGAATCGTCAAAGCTGCCAGGTGCAATGTTGCGTAGCTTTGATATGAGTGCTAGTGCAATTCCAATAAAATAGAAGTAACCTCAAAGAAGAAGACAAGACACTAAGCCCAGGAAGCCAGTGCTCAAGCTCCTCATGGAGATTTCAGAGGCAGCAGTGATGTTTCTTGTGCTTAGAGAAAATCATGTTGCATCACCTAAATCAACAATCGCTGGTTGCAGCCCTTCATAGTTGATTTCGAGCTGCTGTCAGGTAACAATCTTCGAGTACACGCTGCATTGGTTGCCTACTGCACTGTCGACAAAGTTGGGATTCGCATGCATCCTTCGCAGGGGAATGAGTGGTGTCTCCGCCCTTGTTTTCCTGGTAAGAACACACAGCATTGCCAGGCTCACCTCCGACAATCTTTCCTGCTTGCTTCAAAAGTATGGGTTGCAGTGCCGCAAGAACAACACCAAGACGTACAAGATAAAGATGCTCTTGAAGTTGGACGAGGTTACGTCGGCGTGCTCTGCCGAGGTCATCGAAGCTTTAATCAAAAAACTGGAAGAAATGGATGATAAGAGAAGAAAGGGGAAAGCCAAAAATGAAAAGGATGCCGAGAGCGAAAATGAGGCCTTCGGTGGTGCAGCTTCTTTTGTTAATCTTCAACAGACATGATAAGAATAACCGAGCAGGTGCCTGATGGTTTGCTGGATCCAGACGATCCTGCTGTCGAGTTTGCAAGGAACATGCTGGGTGACATCGATGCGGAGGACGAGGACAAACAGCAAAAATACGCACTCAGCAAATATGCTAACAGTACTGCAGTTCGCAACATTTGTGCAGGATGATGCCGACACAGGAAACAAAGAGGAGGAACCGAATCAAAACCACGACGGCGACACACAGGCAGAGGAGGCGGTGAATGCGGGGGACGCAAACCGCCAGAGTCGCCGGCTGCTGTCAGAGACTACAACAATTCCGCAGTATCTGAAAGACAGATACCCGATGCCAAGCGAGGTTCAGCCCTTGCATGTGGTCCACAAGACAACTACTCTGCCGCACTTTCAAGTGAAACTAACAGGCGGCCAGCTGTACGAGGGGAAGTTGCTTGCAGCTGTATAGGAGGTTTCGAAGCATCGTTTAGTATTTGATCAACTTAGTCGTTTTGTTGGGGCTGCTGTGCAGAACACTCAGGGCCTCGACAAGCGCGAGTTACAATCCCAATCTTGATGCTACGCAGATCGACGAAAGCAAGAACAGCCTCGCAAAGCTGGCTGCCAAAAAGAGATCCCAGATGCAAGCTTGGTTTATGTGCTACGTGTGGGCAAAGGACGCCACCAATGCCAAGAACAAGCGAAGGAAAAGATAGGTCGCGTAGAAAATGCACATGTGCAGCAAGGAGAAAACAGACTGAGCGCGCATACAAGAATTCTATTTTGCAAATCCTGATGGGTTTCAAAAAGAATAGTAGCCAGCGGGAACTCTCAATCAGCGTTTCGCTGCATTCCTAGCACTTACATCATTGCATAGACTTAAGCAATAATGATAAGTAGCTTCCAGGACAACAAGGTACAAACCCTGAAGTGGAATGATGATCTGAGAGGGGGGGGGCCCTGAAGCAGAATTACAATGGTCAGCTATGATTTAGGGTTTAGGGTTTAGGGTTTAGGGTTTAAGGAAGACTTGGGTCGTGTAGGGGCGAAGGGCTGGACTTTGTAGCTACTTGCTACGTGAATTCCCACCCTGTCGGGCATGAGGACCCTAAACCCTACACCCTAAACCCTAAACCCTAAACCCTAAACCCTAAACCCTAAACCCTAAACCTAAACCCTGAAATCTCAGGCCTGGAGCCCAGGAACCCTGAACCCCGAGGCCGAAAATCTTGGGGTCTAGGGCGAAGCTTAGGCGGATGATCCTGAACTCCAGAACTCCAAGCCCCCCAAGTCGCGCATCTCATATTGACTGGTTGATGAGATGATTGCTGCCTGCCTCAGAAATTTGGAGCTTGGAACTCATGCGTGCTGATCGGCCTCGATGTTGATCAGCACAGAGGAGTCCCAAACAACATCTTATGGATTGCTAACACACCTGTTGCGACCCATCGATGTTGCAAGAGGCGCTTGTGCAAATCCCAGCGTTCGGCCCGGGAGGGCTTCAAAGTGTGCGTGTATGTGTTGAGCATCTACATCCGTGCCACTTTGCTGCAGAGCTTTTTTGAGAGCTGACCATGGTCCTGGCCAGCATGGTACCCCGAACCCTAAACCCTAAACCCCAAACCCTTAATCCTAAACCCTAAACCCTCAACCCTATATGGCTGGGTTACGAAGTAACCATGAATCTCCAAGTATCCATCCCACCCCACAGAGCCTCAATGACCGGCTGGCTGGAAACTCCAATGCCCCGACTGAGCGGTTTAGGGTTTAGGGCTTATTTCTGCATGGCGAAGGAGGGTGGTAAGAACATCAGGTTTAGGGTTTAGGGTTTAGGGTTTAGGGTTTAGGGTTTAGGGTTTAGGGTTTAGGGGGGTGTTCTGGAACCGGCCGCAAGCCGAGGACTACGACATAGTCCCTGCAGCCTAAGCCCTAAACCCTGGACCTTAAGGCTCATGCTGTACTTGGAGGTTCATGGGCACTTAGAACCCCAATGATAACTGCACTTATAAGCCCCCCTAAGTCCCCTAAGTAGGTTGTAAGTAGACTTATAGGTACCCATGAACCTCCAAGCAGTGTTGCCTTTAAGTTCTGCAGCCCCTGAAACGTCTTGAGAACGCTGCGTCAAATTCAGGATAACCTCCGAGCCGATCGCGCGTTT